ATACTGACTTGCAGTCATGCAACTGGATAAAAACTGGCCAGGGAGGATAGCGAACTCAACACAAAGAATTTCTAAGCCACAGAAATCTCCTAAGATTTTGTGTGTGAAACCAGTTTTTCAGATGGCAGTTCTGTGGGAAAGAAGGAAAGAATGTGGTTGGTAAGTTCATTGGTTATTCTTAGCCCCAAATCTCATTGGGGCTATGACTCTATAAATAATCCTATTATGTGGAAGCAGTGTATCATTTTGTTAAAAAAAAAAATGAAGCACAACAGAAATAGAAATCAAAGAGCTGATTTGCATTTTTCTTTTGCCCTCCCAAAGAAAGGCAAGAGAGAGGGAAAGAGGGTTCTTTCAAAATGTAACCTTCCCTGATTCTTTTGAAACATGGTTTTCTAAATATTCAAATTTATGAATAGCTATTGGAGGGTCACCTATCAAGTAAACTATGCAAATTCATTTTCTATTGCTCCATAACAAAACATCCCCAAATTTACCAGCTTCAAACAATAAACATTATTTCACAAGTTTTGTGGGTCAAGGATTTAGGAGTGTTTTGCTGGGTCTCTCATGAGGTTGCATTCAAGCTCTTGGGGGTGGCTGCTCTCTCTGATGCCCGCCTGGCTCTTGTGGGGGCAATTCTGAGCTGACCTTGTAGTTGCTGAGAGAGAGAGAGAGAGAGAAAAAACAAAAGGGCAACCACAATGCAAGTCACAGACCTGTTATCACCTTATTTTGGGAGTGACACACAGTCGCTTCTGTTGAGTGGCATTGGTCACAGTGATCAGTGTGGGAGGAAACTGCCCAAGCATGCAAATACTAGGAAGTGAAAATTTTGGGGACCAACCTGACGGCTGGTTGCTACACTCTTCCAGTTGCTCTACACACATTTGATCTGCAGCCTCATGGTTCTTCTATCTAGGACACTGTGATGACAAATAAAAATTTGAGGTGTGATGAACTAGTTGGTATCCGTGGTACAGAGTGGCCTCAGTGGGTAGGCTCACCACCGCACACATACTTTTATCCTATTAGAAGTCCAAGGCATGCATCTTCTAATGATAAATGTATTATGCTAGGTTTGTATTTGAAGCAAACTTATAACTAAGCATGTAGTTTATGATGCATTTAGGAAATAGAATGATGCGAACAAATGTGGATACACTAAGTATTATTCTGTAAGAACTAGTTCTAGTTAGTGTGTGTTACTAACTAGAACTACAATGTCAAGCAAATCACCTAACCTCTTTGAGCTTATTATATGTATATAAAGCCAGTGACCAAAACGCTGTAACAACCAGAATGACCGGTCACTATGATACCCACTGTGGCCAGCGAACTGGCCCAATTAGGGGGGTGGGGCCAGCTGGTCAACCTCCTGCAGCCTTTTCCCTGACCCAGCCCCACCCCAGATCAGCCTCCCCACCCCAATCAGGATCAGGGCCAGCCAGCCAACCACCTTCGGCCCCTTCCCCCAGCCAGTCCCACTCCCAATGGGCCCCCACTACCCCATCAGCTCACAGCCCTTCCCACCAACCAGCTCTGCCCCTATCAGAGGCAGGGCCCACCAGCCAATCACCCACGGCCTCTCTCCTCAGCCAGCCAGGCCATGATCAGGCCCCATTTGAGGTGGGCCAGCTGGCCAACCTCCTGCCGTCTCCTCCTCCCAACAGCCCTGGCCCTAATCCACCCCAGCTGGACCCCTCCTGTGCAAAAATTTGTGCACTGGGCCTCTAGTATCAACTATAAAATGAGTGTGTTGTATCAGGTAGTTTCTAATAACACTGCTACTTCTAAAAAATGGTTATTTAATGATATTCTAATTATGGAAAATTCACCAAAAAATGCATTTCAGAGTATAATTTCTAGAAAATAGCATTTCTAACGTAAGAGAAATGCATCACAAGTGGGCCTATAATCTAACTGAATCAGATCAAGATTATTGACTGGCATTCGCTATGACAGACTGCCATATGCTGGGCGCCTGGGATATTCAGGGCTGGCATGAGAGGATGGTGTGTAAGCACTGCAGAGGTTTCTCCTCTAGGGGCCAGAGAGGTGTCCCCAAAGTACAGTTTTCAGAGGTCACATATGCAGCATGTGGTCATGTCTCTCCCCACAGGTCTAGACGTATGCATTTTTTCATTTACATGCCATAAAATTGACTTTGTTAAATGTACAAAGCAAGTTACAGAGTTATGCGATCATAACCACAATCTAAATTTTCATCATTCCCAAAAGGCCTTATATCCTATTCATAGTCAACTGCTTTTCCAACTCCAATCCCCAGGCAACCACTAATTCTACTATCTCTATAAATTGCCTTTTCTGGAATTTTCATACAAATGGAGTCATACAGTATGTAGTGTTTTGCATCTAGTCCTTCCTATAGCAAGAGGTGTTCAAGGTGCATCCATGTTGTATTATAGTATGTATCATCAGCTTGTTCTTTTAATTTCAGAATAATATTCATTCGTAAGGGCATTTTGTTTATCTTTTCACCAATGTATGGCCATTTGGCCTACTTCCACTTTGGAGCTGTTAGAAACATTTCTGTCAAATATTTGTGGGTATATGTTTTCATTTCTCTTCGATATATACCCAAGTAATGGAATTTCTGGGTCACATGGGTTAAATTCTATAATTAAGTTTTTTAAAAACTGCCAAACTGTTCTCCAGAGTGGCTACACCATTTCACTTTGCCATTTTTTATTATGTCAACAGGCGTTGATGGGCAGTGAGGAAGTGTAAACTGGGGAGTCTCTCCTTGTCAGGGTGACCCCAGCTCCAGAAGATCTTATGCCTAACTGACAATGAAGTTTTGGGCCAGTGACCACTGAAACAATTGTTTTCTGGATCAAATTCTTCCTGATTGTACTAAGAAGTAATCCCCATTTCCTACCTTGTTTGGCTCAGTGGATAGAGTAGGGGTGTCGAACTCAATCAGAGAAGGGGCCAAAATCTAAAATCCAGCCTAAATCGCGGGCCAAATGGTTTACTGAACAGTCATAAACTGTCATTGTGATGGAAACGCAGCGGAGTGCAGTGATGACAGCGCGGTGCGGGCCACATTGCAAGGCCTGGCGGGACGGATTTGGCCCGCGGGCCTTGTGTTTGACACATGTGGGATAGAGCGTCAGCCCTCAGACTGAAAGGTCCCTGGTTCAATTCCAGTCAAGGGCACATACCTTGATTTCAGGTTCCCCGACCCAGGTAGGGGTGTGTGCAGGAGGCAAACAATTGATATGTCTCTCTCACATCAATGTTACTCTCTGTCTCTCCCTCTCCCTTCCACTGTCTCTAAAAATCAATAGAAAAATATCCTCAGATGAGGCTTAACAAAACAAAAACAAAAAAGAAGCAATCCCTACTCAGTTGTGTGGGTGCTATTGTATGTTCTTTTCACTATCAAAACAACCCAAAGCAAAGTTCTAAAAAAATGTACCTCCCATCCCAAGTAGTTCATTTTATTGCATAAATGCCAATTTCTTTGTAGCTATTTAGATCTCAGAAATAGACAGTGTATTCCAGAAAATGGCCAAAGATATATTTATATTAATCTAATATTTTGCTTGTGAAAAAGTATCCTGTAGGTGAGGAAAGTTCTCTGTATTTTACTTAGGAAAAAGTCTGCATCATTTTCTTCTGTAGTTATTTTAAAGTATCTTTAAGACATGGATAGACCTAAAGAGTAATATGCTAAGTAAGTCAAACAGAGAAAGACCCAAATACCATATGATTTCATATGTGGAACTAAAAAAGAAGATAAATCAACAAACAAAACAGAAACAAACTCACAGATACACACAGAACATTTTGATGGTTCCCAGATGGGAGGAGGTCAGGGGGTGGGTGAAAAAAGTGAGGGGATTAAAAAGTAAAATTGACAGATATAAAGAGTCATAGGGATGTAAAGTACAGCACAGAAAATCTATAATAAAAAGCGTAATATGCTAATTAGACCAGACAGCCAAATGACCTTCTGGATAAAGCCAATAGTCGATAATATTGTAATAAGAAAAAAGTAATATGCAAATTGACCCTCATTTTGTCACACAATCACAAGATGGCTGTGCCCACAGTGGGGGAGGGGTTCCCATAATGAGCCATATCGAGCAATCAGCAGGGACCTGAGACTGCACTCTCCACCCAGGAGGGCTTGATGGGGGCCCTGAGGTTGTGCCCCTGCCCGGAGCTGGACCAGGGAACCTGAGGCTGTGCCCCCTGCCTGATGGGGATTGACAGAGGTGGAGTGGCTGAGTCTGGATCTCTCCCAGTGGGGGTAGGGCCACAATTTTGAGGTGCACATGCATGGGCAGGGACTTGACTCTGGGTCCCGCTGAGTGCCCCAGACTCTGACAGGAGGAAGATTTTCATATACATTTTACCAGTTTTATTTCATCTCTGACTCTTCTATTGTAGAGAAAGGGCAAATAGCAATATTAAAATATTTCCTCTAATTAATTCCCTTTTTTTGTGCACAAATTTCTAGCACTGGGCCACTAGTATTATAATAACTGTGTATGGTCTCAGATAGGTACTAGAATTATCAAGGTGGTCATTTCGTAAGTTATATAAATGTCTAATCACTATGTTATACACCTGAAACTAATATAATATTGTATGTCAACTGTGATTGAAAAATTTAAAAATATATATTTTCTAAAAAAAAAAAATTTAGCTTGTGGGCCATGGGAAAATAGGTCACAGTGGATTTGTTTGACAAATAAATAAATAAATAAATAAATAAAGGGTCTCTAAGTATGGCCCTGAACAAATGCCAATATAAAAAATGTACATAATGTGCACTCCTATTGATATTTTAGAAGCCATATTTTTTACTAAGTATAGTGGTTACTCAGTAAAACATTTACTAAATGAATCTGCCCTAAGCACAAACTTCTACTTTAGGGGACTAAAATTATACAAAATAATGACTTAGTGTTGTAATAAAATGTCAATTTTATTAAAATTTCACATGGTTAAGTAAAGTTGTTTTTCTTAAAGCCCATTTTATTATATTTCTTCATCAGAGTCGGTTGGCTCAGTGAGACTGCCATCGATAAAGACATGTACAAAGGTAGCACCGCACACCTATGAATGCAGATAGCCATGACAACCTTCCCCATATGTACAACCCTTTTACACATACACACATATATTTACAGCTAATAAATAACACGTAAAGCCAGAGCATTGTTAATATATAATATATAGTGAAGTCCACAGAAGCCAGAGTTCCCAGGGCCATGCACTGATTTGATTCAGATGTTCTTAAGGTTATGCACTCAAATCCAGAAAAATGAATGAATTACAATAAAGGGGGATGCCAACCACGAATCACACAGCTTTTATTTTTAGAGAGAATTCACGCCCAACTGGCGGATATCAAGCACAGCATTCGTCCTACTCTGTACAACCATATTCCTCAGACGAAGGGCAGGCGTTATGGAACTCCGGAGCCATTTCTAAGCCAACCAATCCCAATACACCTTTTGATCATTCACCTTCTGGGCCGCCCTCCATAAGCAATGTACACGGTGCTTCTTATGTGAGTATGCATGTGTTCAAGTGCCCGCACGTGTTCACAGTTTTGATTCCCAGCAATAGCCTCTGAGATATTTGACTTCATTTTATATTAATGGATAGAAAAGCATCCTGAATGCAGGAGATCTATTTTATAAATAATTACTCACTCACTCCTGGCTAGTTGTTAAAAACAATTCTCATGACATTGCATGTGGCTGTGGCCATTGAGGATTCGCTTCATCACGCACAATGGTTTTAAGCACTGCTTATGAATATGTCCCAGTGACCTTTCCATCTCTCTGTTTAGTAAAAGTGGTCCTGGTCTAAAATGTGTAGACATTGAGTGATGCAGAATTTGACTTGGAACACACTCTCTTCTCAAAGCCAGAGAAGAAAGAGTCCTATTCAAAGTATGGCTGAAGCAAGGCTGAGCTAAGCCTAAAGCCGAATAGAAACCATTGGATATTAAACAACTTCACATCGGTGAATAGAGTTTGGAAATCTGATGCTAAAATGATGGGATCATTTTCCTTCCCCATAGTGAAAATTACGTCAGCTAAGTGCGACAGGCTCATACCAAGGAACACTGTTAAAATATAACTTTGAGACAAAGCAAGTAAAGGAGGGGAGAGATTAAGCAATAAGCTGTAAAGCCTTTTAAGACTTAATTGTTCTAAATTTTATATCTCCTTTAATTTGTAACAGTTATGATGCAACCAACCACAGGAAGTGTTAAAGGTTCAGTCAGCTCCATTCTGGTTAACTCCTGGGCTGCAACCAATGGCAAGAGGGCAGCCATTCCAACAAAAAGGCAAGTGTTTGACGGATAAGGAAATAAGTCGCACTCAGGCTGTGAGAATGTATGGATCCCAAAAATGCAGAATTCCAACTAAACTATGAAGTTCTAACCAATTGTAGGCTATGGCTAATATCACTACATAAAGTTTATTATTTTACCACAAGCCCAAAAAATTCTTATTTCTTTCTCAAAGGACAAATGCAGTGCTTTTTCTATTTGCTGGGATTTTTTTGTTTGGTTTTGTATTTTAATGTTGCAAGGTGTACTATTTGGCCACTGTACTCCTCAAATTGAATTAGCCACTTTTTAGTATTTGAGACTTGTCTCTTAAGATAACTAACAAGGATAGCTGGGATTAATACTCAGGAAATTTCACTTTTAACCACCCAAAGTTCTGGGCATCTCTTGTAAAAGTTACTTCACTCTTCCCAGAATTCATGTGCTGTTGTTCCTTCTGCAGATTCTGAGAAAAAGAAAAGAGAGACAGAGAGAGAGAAGGGTGATTTATTACCTGTTTAGTGTTTTACAACCCTTTCCCCTCCCCCACCGCCTTCAGGATGAAAAAGATTTCAACTGAAAGGTCCAAAGGAAAGTGAGAGTAAGCCAGGGAAGACGTGGAAAATGGGTCGGAGCGTGGCGGCATTTCCTCGAGAGGAAAGGCGCTGTATTTCTCCTCAGCCACGTTCCAACAAAGACTCTCATTCTCACAACACTCAACCCAGTGGTTTCGAAATTCAGGAAGATGTCTTCTAAACTTGCCAAACTAAATGCCTGGTTTGTGTGGTAGGGTTTGTGTGTGTGTGTGTTTTGTTTTGGTGTGTGTGTGTTTTCTTGTGATATGAGACTTCTAAAGAGTTATATCTGAAAAAGAAACTCTGTTGATGGGTTAACTTAGTCACAGAAGGAAACTGCAAAAGGTTGCTAGTCTGGCCTTCTAGATAAATTCAGATGCATTAAAAAAAAAAATGCTGCCTAAGTATTTGTTGTCTCAGTAATTCTATAATCGGATTAGGACTGTATCATTAGACTTTCTCAGGTAAATTCTTATAACTTATAAATAATATGACTAGAAATACCTTATAAACAGAGGGAGCGATTTCCTAATTTGGGGTTTGTTTTTTCATTGACATATAGATTTAAAGTTGTATCTTTGGGAGAGTGTGTGTGTGTGTGTTTGTGTATGTTTGTATGTGACATAAATTCATGTATAAAACTTCACATAGGAGTCCCTTCCTAAGAGTTAGAGCAAATGTGAAATTGCCTCAAATTTGCAATGAGGAGAAACAAAGCAATGAGCCTGTTATTAGAACAGTCTCTATGCCACTAACTATTCTCCGTTTCAAATTTATCTCGAGTGTCTGACATTAATGTTTGTAATCCGGATGGCTTCACCTTGCCACTGGATTCCATTTTTGTAAAATAATCTAAAATATATACATACTACATATGCATAGAGAAAGTCTGGAAATATAGCAGGTCTATCTCAGAGACATTGCGGGTGTGGTTCCAGGCCACTGCAATGAAGTGAGTATCACATTAAAGGGAATCATGTGAATATTTTGGTTTCCCAATTTAACAAGCATGTCAAACTCACGACTGGCGGGCCACAGGACCCACTGGCCATGAGTTTGACATGCTTGCTCAGTCTATTAAGTGCACATACCTTATTTAAAAATGCTTTATTGCTTAAAAAAAAAATGCTAACCATCATCTGGCCTATTGGGAAAATAAAATCGGCAGACTTGCTTGTACAGGGTTGCCACAAAACTTCAAGTTATTAAAAACGCATTATCTGGGAAGCACAATAAAGCCAGATCTGCCTTTATATTAAAATGTTAATTGGGAGTTGTCCCTGGGTGATAGCCACTGTGATATTCATTTTGCCTCTTTTTCCTAATCTGCCCATAATCTATAATTATCCATGGATACATTACATTAAAAGTAGAAATTAGAAATAATACAGATATTCCATGTAGGTCTTTAATATGTTTTTTTTCTGATCAGGCAATTCTTATTTTGTACTTTTGTCTACAAATGTAACTGGGAGAAGGCAACCCGAAAGCAACTGCTTTTTCTCTTTCCAGATAACATTGTGGCTTCTTGCGTCACTGGCTTGTAGGGCATGATCTAAGCTTTCTCCTCTTTCTGCCCGCCTGCCTCTCGCATTAGCACTTGGCGCCGGACAGGGGAATGCGTGGAGGAATGGAAGTGGCACAGTGCAGGAATGCAGGAAGGGAAGGCGAAGGTCACATGCTTTGTCTCCACTTAGCACTGACGCTCTGGAAAGATTCAGCTGACAGCTACCACGCGGATTAGCCCTCAAGGTCAGGTAGGAAAGAGCCAGGGAGCTGTTCTGAGGTGGAAAGGAGACCAGCCTCCTGCACTCTAACCCCATTAACTCCCCATCTTTAGAGTTTTGAGTCGGATGCTTGGTGGCTGCCCCTTTGGCTGTCTGTCCCTGAGTCGGCTGGCACTGAGAGCATCGCTGAAGGACTATGTGGCTGCAGCTGATGTTTCCCTCTCTGGGGAGGAGCTGCATCCACAGCCACGTGACTACTAACTCGTGCTGTAGGCTCTGCCCTTGGGGTTATAAAGGTAGCAGGTACGCAGCACAGGGAAAAGCACAAGTGAGGATTTTGTGGCTGTTCAAGAAGTAAAATAAAATCTAAAAAGTGTGCCAAGGATGAAGGTCAGAGCTGACAGAAAGAACAGAGACAGAAAAGCCCAGTCAGTGTGGCTCAGTGGTTGAGCATCGATCTATGAACCAGGAGGTCAGGGTTCGACACCCAGGACATATACTGGGTTGTGGGCTCAACCCCCAGTGTGGAGTGTGCAGGAGGCAGCCAGCCAGCCGACCAATGTTTCTCTCTCATCACTGATGTTCCTATTTCTCTCTCCCTACCTCTCTGAAATCAATGTTGTTGTTTTTTAAATTTTTTAAGAGACAAATAAAAAACAAATGGACCAGTCTGATGTATGTTCAGAAGGGCTAAAGAAGACCTCTGAAAGGTTCTGATCACAAGAATCAGTGAAGGCCTGTGTTCCACCTGAGGGATTACCCAGAGAGCTTTAGCCCATGATGCTCACCAGTCAGACTTTTTATTCAGAGACTTGTCGTGGCATTTCACAAATACCACAGATGCCTTTCCTTTTTGCAGACGAGACACTTTCTCCCTGGAACAGAAGATCACCCTGTGGGGGGAAGAGGGATGTGAGCATGCCATATGAAACAATGAAAAAGACCATTCAGAAACCAGGGCTGTTTAAATCCCACGTGACTGGTCTGATTAATTTTTTTATATTTCCAATAATGAACTGTTTACACACGGGCCATTCTGGTCAGCAAGACATTTGAATCAGAGGGTTATGCAGCTGGCATACAACACCCTGGAGCATCCTTAAAACCACCAGGCTTTCACCAAGGGAGATATAAGATCAGTCTCACCGCCTCTGCCTTAAGCAATTCACAAACCAGCTTCCAACTGGCCCTGCTACAGAACAGAATGCTCTGCTCCTCCAGCCACACCCCCTTTTATTATTATTATTATTATTATTATTATTATTGGTTATAAAAGAAAATGACCAAAGAGAAATAACTTATCAATCCTAAGTTTTGAAGTCATATTTTCACTAACAATATTATATTAGCACTGTGGGTTGCAACACCCCTGTACATTTCATATGAAAGTGTTCAATCCTGCCTGGCTCTCTATGCAATTCATTGTACAGATAAGTGTAGGGTGGGACTGGGGAGTCAGGGTGAGATTATCTTGGCCTCTCATCCTTCTAGAAGAGGTTGGTTCTCATCTTTGAATGTGAAAGGAACACTTCCGAGGTTCTTCCCGCACAGGCTCTGTGCTTGCAAGAAGCAGTGAGAAATGAGAAACTGAGATTCCCCACTTCTCAGCTCAGCACTCACACGTAACTGTGACCGATGCGGGGCTTATGTGGTCTTTTCGTGAAATTCAGAAATACTGTTACTCCCCTGGTATGATAATTAAGGAACACTCCCCCCAAAATTATAGGTGCCATTATCTAGCTGACATAGTTTTTTTCAACTACAGTTGACATGCAATATTGTGTTGGTTTCAGGTATATAGCATAGTGAATAGGCATTTATACAATTTACGAAATGATTCCCCATGATAAGTCTAGTGCCCATCTGGCACCGTATGTAGTTATTACAATATTCTCTACTATACTCCCTATGCTGTACTTCACATCCCCGTGACTGTTTTGTAACTGCCAACTGGTACTTCTCCATCCTTTTCCTTATTCACCTGTCCCCCCGATTCCCCTCCCATCTGTCAACTGTCAGTTTGTCCTCTGTATCCATGAGTCTGTTTCTGTCTTGTTGTTGGTTTTGTTTTTTAGATTCCACATATAAGTGAAATGGTATGGCATCCATTTTTTCCTATCTGACTTATTTCACTTACTAGCTGATATCGTTTTAAAGACAAAGCTCACTAAATTGCATCTGAGTGTGGAAGGCTCCAGAAACACTATCTCTAGGTAATGGCATTACAGTGAGTCTAAAGGGAGTGGAGAAAAATAAAGGTAGTTACTTCTTTTGAGTCTCTCCTGCTTTCACTCTGATCTTCTCAATGGCAAAGCCAGGGCTGCTCCACCAGTCGGACCAGCTGAAGTAGGAATCGCTATTCCACTTGAGTTTCAACATCAGCAGTTCTCCGATATCCACCTCCGTGTAAATGAGGAAGGAGTACGTCTTATTGGTGGAAATTTCAGGCCTGAATACAAAAATCAACGTGTTTGGTTAGTTATGGGAATCAAGTGTGTGTTCTTCCCTTTTCTTCCTCCCAAGATATAAATAGCTTTATTGTTGGGGAAGGGGGAGGGTATTTTAAAAATGCAAAAAATGTCCAATAAAATATTCAAGATGAATGTCAATGGCATTTACTGTATTTCAAAAGATAGCTCCATCCTTTTCATCAGTTCCAACTTTTATCCTAGTAATATGAACCATTTTACACAATTTTAAAAGAAAAAATCCATTGGCCAATTATTCAGAGACATTCTTTTCATTTTTATATATTCTCTTCCATTTTGTATTGATATGTGAACATGTGTCGGTTTTGTAACAATCACAGCTACATAAAATTCTCTATTCTTTCTTTGTTCCCTACATAGTTTGCCTTCTACTTTTGCCATGTTTTACCTAGTTTTATATAATTATAGTTTTTTAGAGGCTAGGTTGATTTTGTCGATTTGTTAAATCACAATTCACTTCACCATGGCCTCCATGTTGGAAAATTACTTTGTTTCTAATCTATGCCATTATATGCACCACTGTATATAATGGCATACAGATATTTTTTAATTCTCCTTAATATTTCTTTTTCTAGGTGTTTTACTCCCTTTCTGCTCCTCAGACCAATGGCTCTGGCAGGTAGCAGGGCCATGACAAACCCAAGTGCTGGAGGCCATGCATGCGGCTACTCACAGGGTGAAGGGGATGTTCTCACTCTCGGCCACAGTGCCGTACAGAGAGATTTCGAAGGCCTGGTTGAGCTGTGTGTCACTCTCAGTCCCAGAGAAATGTATCTTTACTTGGTAATGGAAGACTGCAGGGAGAAAATAGAAACAAGTGCTGATCAGTCTTTGTGGAAACATCACAGCTCCCCAAAAGCAGGCAATTCAGAGCCACAGATGGGGTTTCATTAGTGATCAAGTAGGAAGTGCTCACACATGACGATCAGTGTGGCTTAATAAGATTTCTTCATGTCTACACAGTGTTCGAGACTAGAAAAGTCAAACCTTGACTTCTGCTCTCTTTCAGAAAAGTGGGGTTGCAGTGGAAAGGAAAAATCCAGCTATATCTGAATTGCCAAGCAGTCCTAGAAAGTAGTCGTGGTGATGGGCTACTCGAGAAATTAAATCAAGACGCCAAATTACTCATGATGCTTTCTCCATGAACTCCACCTCTTTCTTGGCTAACATGTCCCTAAGTTTCTATACCAGGCATTTTTGGCATTTGTTACTGTGTCACTGTATGTGACTATGTTTCTTCATGCTTCGTGGGTATGGATGACCTCCCTATCCTGTGTTTAAGCTCTTCCAGGTCAGAGGATCATGTTCATCCTCTGTCCCCCCATCATCTAGCACATTAGGTATATAGCAGCCTTGCACTAAGACTTGTTTCATTGAATCACCAGTGAGGCCATAACGACTATCAGGTCCTAAAGCGTCCTGTGTTAGAGACAGCCTTTGAACTTGAACATCTCCTCCCTTCTCTACCCATCTCTACCCAAAACCCTGAAAAGATGGAATGGAGGGGACAGTAAGGGTTAGGAAAGGCAGCAGACTAAGCTACTACAGGGTGAAGAGAAACAGAATTTGGTGTTAAATGGAGCCCTGCGGCAGCAGGAAAAGTCGGGGCTGCCAGAGTGCCCCAGAGACACTGGTGGAGCGCTGAGTGGCACCATGCAGAATGCCCTCTCTCCTCTACACCTCACACACGCTTCCTCATTCTGAAAAGTCAGGGGAACAAAGGGTTCGCTCCTGACTTAAAAGGCTTCCTTGAATTATAGGAGCTCCAAGCCTCCAGGCCCCCAAATGCACCTTCGCAGATTTCCACAAAACCCCTCACAAACAGACGCCTCTGACATCTATTTTCTTTAATATCATTCCTCCCCTTGGACTTCCATTGACTCCACATAAGCCAGAATGTCTGACTTTAGTCCTTCTGGCCAGGTGCCTGGTTATCCCCTCCCCTGTCTCTCCTCAATTCCTGTAGGTCTTGCTCTAAATCCAATTGTGAACAAATTCATAATGAAATGCAAATACCTTAGAAGATTTGATACATTCTCCCCTCCCAGGAATAGTTGTAGTTTAAAATACAGGTGGTTCTTGTCTCCACTTAAAGCAAACGTTAGGAGCTGGCAGACTTTTTTTCTATAAAGGGCCAGGGGGTAAATATTTTGGGCTTTGTAGGACATCTGGTCTCTGTCCCAACTACTCAGCTTCACTACAGTGGCAGGAAAGCAGCCTGAGTCTATACAGAAACAAATGCATGTGACTTGATTCTAATAAAACTTTATGTACACCCTCACCCTCCACGCCACACACATTCATGGGGAATCTGGTGCTAAGCCATTCGTAGACGGCCTGCTTCTGGGTCAGGGTTCTGTACGTGGCAGAGCAGCTCCCTCACTGTAATCTACTGGAAGTCAGCCCTCGACACAAGGTTTTGTAAGAAAAGAAAACAAACCAAAAGGAAAAGGAAACTATGTATAAAAGCAGGTGGTGACTGGATGTGGCCCGTGGGCCATAGTTTGTTGACTCTGGATGGATGGTTTCAAATTAGCTCTGAATCTTGTACTAATGGGCTGGCCCATGCTAACGGTCATGATTACAGAAGAGGTAGCCAGCACAGGGCTGCTACATAGGGCAGGCAGGTTGTGTGCTGGACCTTCCTATCAACAGGAATTCAGAGCTTCAGTAAAGTGGATCCATGCAACTCCCTCTAACAACCAATACAATTTGGGCTCAAGTGTTTAATAACATCATCTTATCATCTCTGTTGCAATGAGCAGCATCAGTAAGTGTGATGCCATGAGCATGACAAAAAAGTGGGATCAAGTTGAGTTTGCTGTTCACAGCAGTCTGGAGCTTACCTTTGTAAGGCATCTGAGAACGAGTCTTCAGGTACATTTTGCTGCTTCTCTTGGCTCTGACCTTATTGATCTCATAGCCCACGTTGTTGCAACGGTTCTTCCTGCAACTCAGGCAGAGCCCCTTCTCAAAGGCTTCCTTTGAATTGCACCGGTAGGCCTTACTGGGGTTTTCCTCATTCAGCAACGAGTCAATGAAGAGATGAATGGAGCGCTCATGGGAGCACTTCACCAGCTGGTCCACATCTGGCGGAAAAGGGAAGCAAAGAAAATTTCAACTCTGTGGAAGTCCTCAGTGAGTGCCTCGTCTAGAATGTTTAGGTGCAGTGTTAAGAATAAAATGGCCTCAGGCCCTGGCTGGGTAGCTCGGTTGGTTGGAACATAGTCCCGTACGTCAAAAAGCTTCGGGTTCGCCGAAACCGGTTTGGCTCAGTGGCTATAGTGTCGGCCTGTGGACTGAAAGGTCCCGGGTTCAATTATGGTCAAAGGGCATGTACCTTGGTTGTGAGTACATCCCTGGTGGGGGGTGTGCAAGAGGCAGCTGATCGATGATTCTCTCTCATCGATGTTTCTAACTCTGTCCCTCTCTCTTCCTCTCTGTAAAAAATCAATAAAAATTAAAAAAAAAAAAAAATATATATATATATATATATATATATATATATATATATATATATATATATATATATTAAAGGCTTCGCACATACCTAGGATGCAGGTTCAATCCCCAGTCAGGGTGCGTACGGAAGCTACCAATCAATGTTTCTCTTTCTCTCTCTCTTTCTCTCTCTCTCTTTCTTTTGCTTTCTCTCTCTCTCTTGCGCTTTCTCTCTCTAAAAACATATCCTCAGGTGAAGGGTTTTTGTTTTGTTTTTTAAGAATAAAATGGCCTCAGGATCTAGTCCTATGACTTTCTGATTGTATATCCTATTTAAGGAGCTATTCTTGGCAGCTTCTCACCTGCCTCCAATAATGTAAAAGCTGCACATTTATAGGGAACTTCAGGCTTTACTGGTCTCCTATGTCGTATGTCTAGGATACTATAAGAGATATCCAAAGTAGAAGCTGATTTCAGCCAGTATCCTTCTCTTATATTGAAAGCATATAATAACTCCAAATTCTTCTAGAAATCTCATCATAAGGGCATAAGTATTAAATAAATAGTATTTTGTCATAGATGCTATATAACATTCAAGGCTTTTGTTACTATCGATACTAATGATTTTTACATTAAATGAATTATAGAAATAATCACTGATATCTTAAGAGTATATCTATTACCAGAAACTTTCACCATAATTATTGAAAATAGTAACATTACGCTGTAAATTTTATAATGTGCACAAAAGTCTTGAACATATTCTCTACAGGTATATCCCATTGTCCACATAAAGTATGCAAAGTTCCCTTAAGACAAATAATAAATTTAACACAAGCTAGCATAAATATTAATGTAAGTATTAAGCCAATATTATATTTTCTTCTTAGAATTTTGGAATATCTGTTGTTAGAGAATGGTGATTTGTTTCTGATTTGTGTGTCTCTTTAAAACATGACAAAAGAAATGTGGACTAATTAACATGTCCCTCATTTTCCATAAAATTCAAAATAACTCTACTGGTTCTGCAACTCCATTCAAAATATGACAACATGCTATGCTGCTATTATCAAAGGCAGTGGCGCTTCCTGTCTAAACCTCACCTTGCTTGTCTTTTGTCCCTCCAAATGCATTATTCTGTGTAGTCTACACTCCATCAAGAACATAACTTGGCTAAAAGAGTATATTAAAATGACATACTTTGGAGAATCGTAGAACACTGGCTTGATAAGAGTTAAGAACACAACTTACGTGAAATTAACTTCTAAGTGATATTTACCTCCGAGGCCTCTCTCTGCAATCACACGGATAGCTTCCCCAATGTTACAGCCTGGTTGAAAAGTGCCGCCATTCGGGTAAATGTCAACATGCCCTACTGGTTTCTGGATTCCGATGCTTCGGCCAGGTGACCCTCTGGTGAACGTGTGTAAGACGTCTACAAAGTCCGCATCGTCGGGAGAAAGGCGACTTGGAGCTTCTGCGTATTCAAAGTTAGGTCCGGCTGGATCTAGGCCTTGATGAGGAAGGAGGAGAAAAAGGCCTCAAGATTTTAAAATCCCTATTGTCTTTAGTCTCCATCAGTATCATCCTAGCATTCCATTGCTCACCATTTGAATATAATTGGCAGCCCCACAGATTCTTTTTCTTTGTTGTTGTTTAAAGTATTACACGTGTCTCCTTTTTTCCCCCATCGACCCCTCCCCGCCACTCCCACCCCCCAGGAGAAGCCCCCTCCCCTCGCCCGCCCCAATGTCTGTGTCCATTGGTTATGCTAATATGCATCCATACAAGTCCTGTGGTTGATCCTCAGAGATTCTTATTAGGATCTTAAAATTACTGAGAGTCAGAAAAGTAAACTTAGCTCCTTCAAAAATGAAATTTATAGGGAATTTTAAACTTTACTGCTCTTCTATATTTGTGAGTATGAATTAGTAATTTTCACTCAGGATAACCAGAGTTCCTTCATTTTCCCAGGACTTACATGAGGGGTGGCATATGGGCAACACACTCCTAAAGCCCAGGGCAAAGGGAGGAGGGACGCCGTGGGCTCTCTATGCTTAACTCAGCTCTATTTCCCTTGTGCCGGTGAATGGTCTGCCCATGAGAGCAAAGGCCTGTGTTCTATCTCACCAGAAAAAAAAGAGTACTCCAGGCCTGGCCAGTTTGGCTCAGTGGATAGCGCGTCGGCCTGCGGACTGAGGGGTCCCAGGTTCGATTCTGGTCAAGGGCATGTACCTTGGTTGTGGGCACATTTCCAGAGGGGAGTGTGCGGGAGGCAGCTGATGGATGTTTCTAACTCTCTATATCCCTCTTTCTTCCTCGCTATAAAAAAAATCAATAAATTTTTTTTTTTTAAAGAGTGCTCCAGTGAGATAATCAAGTGGCTGGGGATATCCAGAAGGACACATTTGACAAACATTCCCATTCTCTTCCAGAATGACAGGCGTCTCAACTCTTTTGCTGTAAGATGGAAGGTACTGCTTTCTTACCCGTGATTCTGTTGACCTTCTTATGGGTCAGACTTCCTGCAACGCCAGCAGCGTGGGCTCCCAGGCTGTATCCCAAGAGATGGACATTATCCACAGGGTAGTTAAATTCCTCCTTTGGGAAAGAGAAAGAAAAAAGGGTTCCTACGGCTCTTTGCAAAAGATGAAAGCTAAAAGAAAAATGAATATAAATACTGTTTTCAAAATATAGGCAATACTGAAAACTAATTCTACTTATTTTAACTTTGTGTTACAGATAAGAAAGACACACCCTCTGGTGTTGAGTTTTTCTCTTTCCTTAATAACATAGTTGAATTAGAAAGCTTTTCAATACATGTGAAAATATGTGTATGCATGGATATGCATGTTTACAGTTATATATAGATATGTGTATCTGTATGATACACATATGTATAATATACGTATAGATACACACACAAATTTAACTTTAACCCATTATTCTCTACTCTAAATATCCTGCATCTCTTTATTCTTTAAGGTCAGCCAAGCAATGTCTAAAAATCAGAAACTATTACAGGGAAAAGGACCACAGACATATATATGGCCCGAGCATGACATCTTCCCTAGGCCCAGGAGTAACAAGCTTTTCTTTGTTCTGCCCACATAGTTCTTGGTCTCATCAAATCTATTCACTGTGAAAATACCGAAGGCCAGAGCAGGGCAGGACTACGTCTTAGCTTTATGTTTTTATCGTTCTTATCATAATGCTGCTTTTGAATGAAAAAAATAATAATAATGCCGATGCCCACCCTAACCAGTTTGGCTCAGTGGATAGAGCGTCAGCCTGCAAACTGAAAGGTCCCAGGTTCGATTCCGGTCAAGGGCATGTACCTTGGTTGCAGGTACATCCCCAGTAGGAGGTATGCAGGAGGCAACTGATTGATGTTTCTCTATCATTGATGTTTCTAACTCTCTATCTCTCTCCCTTCCTCTTTGTAAAAATCAATAAAATATATTTTTAAAATAATAATGATGATGATGCCGATGCCCATCTAGTGCTGAGATTTGAATTGCCCCAGAAAATACCTATAACTGAGTGAAAAGGAACAGAGGACAGCCATTTGTCCAGCTCTAGCCAAGAGATCTGTTTTGGGCACACGGCTTCTTCCCCCCATCTTACCACCATCCAGTCGATAAACCTGGCCACATCCTTCCCCACCAGCTTGGTGTAGCCCGCAGACACGGGGTAGTGCTGCTGGGCCCGCCACAGCCAGTCCACCACGATGACATTGGAGTCCGGCTCCCTCTTGTACAGGGCAGCCACCAGCTTGGGCACCCAGCTCTCGTACATTCCTGTCACCTGGAGAGGATGATACAAGCTTCCTTAGAAAACCCACCTACAGCCTGTCACAGCGGTCAGCCAATTACACCCACATTAATGGGGAAAATAAACCCACGAGGAAGCCCGTAGGTTCAGACAGAAGAATCAAACCACACAAATGCTCGGGGACGGCAGACTGCGGCTTAGCACGCCTTCAATTTTAAAAGCATGTTTTATCGCCCTAGCTGGTTTGGCTCAGTGGATAGGGCATCAGCCTGTGGAGTGAAGGGTCCCGGGTTCAATTCCAGTCAAGGGTACACGCCCGGGTTGCAGGCTTGATCCCCAGTGTGGGGCATGCAGGAGGCATGATTCTCTCACATCATGGATGTTTCTATCTCTCTCTCCCTCTCCCTTCCTCCCTGAACTCAATAAAAAATATATTTTAAAAGAAAAGCATGATTTCCCTAGCCGGTTTGGTTCAGTGGATAGAGTGTCGGCCTGTAGACTCAAGGGTCCCAGGTTCAATTCCGATCAAGGGCATGTACCTTTGTTGCGGGTACATCCCCAGTGGGGGGTGTGCAGGAGGCAGCTGATGAATGTTTCTAACTTTCTATCCCTCTCCTTTCCTCTCTATAAAAAAAAATCAATAAAATATATTTTTAAATAAATAAATAAAAAGAAAAGAAAAGCACGATTTATGAATTCAGTAAAATATCAATAATTTAAAGTATTAAAAGAAAAGATCAATCTGAACAAGTTTAAATTCTACAGCAGAATTACAAACTGTATTTGAAAAATCAGTTTTAATACTATCAATTAGGCTAATAAATGTTTCTGAACAGAATTATTTTGGGGGAATAAAGACCACTTTTTTCTTATAAATAGTCACATACACTATGTGACTTTGATTTGCTAATGAAAAACAATAGTGTTAAACATGCTAATGTCTCCTAATAGAAAGCAAGTTTTCTTAGCAATCTCTTTCTTAATACATAAGAAAATTATCAACTTCAGCTCAGACTTTTTCACAAGTCTCTCAAATTCTTCATTATTAGCATAGAAATTAATGAGGTTTAACAGTCCCATTTCCCTAATTATTAGATCAGTCCTGTCTGGAGGTATGCAGACTGCCGACTGTAATTCTTTACTTCTTGTTAATAAAGGCCCCAAAATTCAAAGTCAGAAGAATTATGGGGTCCTCAAATTAACTCTATTTATGTAAACTTTTAATTTATGTTTTCAGAAAGGAGATGTTGGACACCTGTGGAAAGATGCACACTTTGAAACACCTAAAAACTGCAGATTAGAAAATTGCACACTACCCTGCCATAAACTTGAACACAGCAACAACCTGATTTAAATCCTCCAATCTACCCCACTCTTAAAAGTCTGAGAGCAGATCATATCTTTAAGGTTAGCCACCAGGTACTCAACAAAGGAAATTCTGAAATCGATGAGTAAGGCAGCTTTTTGGAGCAAACCTGTAAAAACTTTAATCTTCTAAGAGTAATTCTAATAGAAAAAAAAAATTGCAAACCAAGGGATTTCATTTGGAATTTTTACTTATGGGGTGGGATCTTTCAGATTTACACTTTCATTTTGTCTCGTCTTTTTTCTTGACGAAGGTCTCTAAACATGGTTGCTTGCCTCACTCCCGATACTAACAAGCTGCACAATTCTTTACCCCATTGCTGTGCTCTGTGGTACTAAAAAGCAGGCCTGGGAATAAGATCTTGGCTCCAATCCCAGCTCTTTCTCTAACTCACTACTGCTATGAACAACGTGGGCACCGTCTACTCAGCCACCTACAGGACAAAGGGGTCCGACTCGGGTGATCTCAAGGTTACCCTCCACCTCATCAATCTCTCCTCGGGACCCTCCTGGTTCCCAATCTACTTGCAGGGATAAAATCCCAACTCTAGAGCTATGTTAAGCATGAGGAGTAAACAACGAAGAAAAAGTACAAGAGTGATGTTAGCCCGTTAGAAACCTCGTTACATCTCCTCTGACCATGTCCCAGAGACGATGCTTCTTGTCCTGCTGCAGCCTGGATGTTCGAGAGAACCAGCAGCAACACCCACTTTGCCCCAAACTCTGAGAAACTGGTCCTGCCCCCTTTCTCCTTATTGGAGATCAGGGGCCACCCTGTGCAGCTGGCTCTCAGGAGAGGAGGATGTCGCTTCTTCAGAAAACAATGTGAACCACTCCCCCTTTCCGCCAGGGGTGCGGACCTCCTACATCACAAGGAGAACCCTGTGTCTGTGAAACTCAAGCAGGTGGCAAAACTCCAGCACAGCTGTGTCTAAACCGCCTTCTGAGACGTGCCCTGTGCGCACAGCACGCTGAGCATTCCTCTGGGTTTCTCATGACAAAGCTGCAGAGCCTCCTCGCTGCCCTTAGTCCTCAGCCCTTCCAGGGGTCCTCAAACTTTTTAAAGTGGGGGCCAGATCACGGTCCCTCAGAGAGCTGGAGGGCAGGACTATATGAACTACTAATTCCTACTGTAACACCTCGGCTGCAGTCACTGCCCAAAAAACCTGGCGGGCCGGATCAGACTCCTCTGCGGGCCGCATGTGGCCCGCGGGCCATAGTTTGAAGACCCCTGCGAGCAGTCTGCTTCAGACACGGCAGGAAAACCTTGTTTGAACCAGGGCCCTATTTCTCTACTGTTGATATTTCCAAATGAGGCAGCCTGTCCAAGAGCAAGTAACCCAACTTACTCCTACTGTGACTGGGACTCAACTGCCTATTAACTAACCTATTTCTTCCTTTTTTAACTCAATATATACACTGTGACTAACCTAAAGGGGTGGGGAATCCAAGTGAGAACCCGCCTTCTGCAGTCTGGAAAGGTTTTTTTGTTTTTTGTTTTTTTTTCTAGGTTCTTCTTCTGTGATTCCTTAAACCAGTACCAATTTTTTAAATGTTTTATTATCAGACACACAGAGGAACCGAAGCGCTCCTTGCCACCTGCATCAGGGGAGTCCACCTGCACCAACCAGGAAGTTCGCTGAGATAAGCCGAGGCCATAACCAGCATGGCTGGCTTGTGCAGACCAGCCAGCTCTCTGCAGTGAAACTCAGTCCCCTGGCCAGCGGCCAAGCCCCTGAGCCCATGCTCTCAAAATGTCAGGACTGTGCCAGGACTGGTTTGGCTCAGTGGATAGAGAGTCGGTCTGCGGACTGAAAGGACCCAGGTTCGATTCCGGTCAAGGGCATGTACCTTGGTTTCAGGTATATGCCCAGTGGAGGGTGTGCAAGAGGCAGCTGGTCGATGTTTCTCTCTCATCAACGTTTCTAACTCTCTGAACCTCTCAATTCCTCTCTGTGTAAAATCAATAAAATATATATATTTTTTTAAATGTCAGGACTGTAATAAGAACATAAACTGGGCTTCATGAATAGTAGGACCAGTGATAGAAATTGGTACCATCTACTGATGCTGGGTTAGCTGTGTCATCTTAACATGAGAAAAAATACGTGTTTTTTAAAATTCCTAACTTTTAGCAATTGTCCTTTACTGTCAAAAACAGTTGGGACTAGAGGTATGTCAATCATTATAATTTAGTACCTACTACCATATTTGCAAGCTCTGACATAATGGAAAGATGCTAGCTCTTTAACCATCCACTTTATTTAAGTCCTTTTTAATAAAGAATGAACTCTGTTCACTAGGGCACTAGGGATTTAAAATATTAAAAACCAACTGAGGTACTTAAGTAAGAACTGCACCGCATAGAGTGACTCTCTGGCCTATTTGGAGAGAACTAGTTTATTCATGTTTTTTAAAAGTAAATTTAATGGCAGTCTTTACCTTTTCTAGTCATCTTGCATGACAGTTCCCTGGCTAGCCTGCTTTCATCTCTAGAAAAGCTCCCTAAAGTTTATAATTGGAGAATGTTGGAAGTGGAAGGGTGCCTAGTCCAATCTCTTTGTTTTACAGATTTATAAACTGAGGCCCAGGGATGAAAAGTGACTTGAGCCACATCACAGAGCTTGAGAACGGCAAAACCGAGACTGGAACAAACACCTCCTCTCTCCATTCCAGCCCTCTCCTCACTCTCCCAGGCTGTCATCCTTAGGAAAGCACCTTTGGTGATGTGCTGGGCAAATCAGGATCATGCCAGGTTTCTACCGGTTCCCAAAAAGGATAACCTACATTCTGCTCTATAATTAAGCAAAGCCTCATTTTTCCACACATTCCAGGAAGGCTGGTCCCAGGGCACCGACTAGGGACCAAGGTAAAACGCAGGGCGGCACTGTCTGGGGGAAGGACCCAGGAACCTGTGACTTTCGAGTCTATAATCCCCAGCCTGAGCCAGACCTTCCTTTACTCAAATTTAAAGCAAAGCCATCGGGAAGCGAGTAGAAGTATGGGGTGTGGAGACCCCTCATTGGGTTCCAAACAACAAGGGCAGGATGGTCAGGACACAGGCCACCCCGGGCCCCTCCTCCTACAGAGCCCCTCTCACCGTCCAGCCATGGATCACCACGAAGGTTTTGCTGCTGTGGTTGAAGTGGCAGTTAGCCACAGATTCTGTCACTCCGGGAATGATGTGGCATGTGTCCTCAGCTGTGTCTTCAGGGGTCCTTAGCGCAAATTTACTTTCAATGTCTGCAAAATCTTTTCCTTCTTTAATACCTGAAAAGGAAAAATTGGATATGAAGTTCGTTGGAGGACTGTGTTTTCTTGATTCGATGAAACGGTCACTATATTTAAGGTTCACAAGCAGCCAGCACTAATACCATTTGTGTTTCTAAAGTTTAAAAAAAATAAATAAATGTGGGTTGCAAGAGAATGACCGATTCTCTAGTGGTGATCAAAGTTAACAGAGAAGGTCTTCAAATAACTGAATTGAACAACATTGATCTCTCCTATATCTTCCATCTTCTCCTTCTATCAGTGTGTGTGTGTGTGTGTGTGTGTGTGTGTGTCTATTTGAATTTCCTTAGTTAATTCAATCTTCTTTCAAAATATAAATTGGCCAATGTCATGCTGCTGATAATAGTGGGGGAGAAAATGGGGACCAGTTGGGTTCATTCTCTTAGAAAACATTAGCTCGTGGCTCTCTCGTTGTCTAGTTCCATGTATTTCGTATATCTCTGATCGCACAATAGTATACAATAAGGCTACTTTGCAGGAAGTTTGTTTCCTTTTCACCAGCATAATTTTTTACATATTAGCAAGAAGAAAAGTTGGTGACCTGAGGAAGCTTTGACATGGAATGGGTTCCACCCAGTGGCAGGACACATTATTTCAATATATATATATATTTTTTAATATATATATATATATTTTTATTGATTTTTTACAGAGAGGAAGGGAGAGAGAATAGAGAGCTAGAAATATCAATGAGAGAGAAACATTGACCAGCTGCCTCCTGCACAGCCACCACCAGTGATGTGCCCGGAACCAATGTACATGCCCTTGACCGGAATCAAACCCGGGACCCCTCAGTCCACAGGCCAACGCTCTATCCACTGAGCCAACCGGTTTTGACAGTTCAATATATTTTTTAAAGTAATTTAGTGGGTTGTTCATAAATACCTGAGCCATTGTTAACTGTTTCCCCAAATATTTATTTTCCCACTTATGCCTCTAGTCTCCCGTAAAGTCAAAGCTTAACAAACTACTATAAAGCTGGTTTTGGAAAGAATCCACTTTGGTTCTTCCTAATTAATCCCAAAATGAGTAAGGAGAGAAAGAGAACTTTAGTCTATTTCTCTCTGAACAATAAATCTAAATGTTGACAAATCTTCACAAGGTATTTGTAAACAGTACATATCACATCACAGTGAACACTTGAAGTAAATGCTGTGGCAGATAAAATCAGACTGTTTTACAAAACAAACACAAAGGGCAGTTATGATAGGGGAAATATGTAATTTCTTGTCAAGGGAAAAACAACCTGCCTATTCACTTTAAAAAGGTAATAACTTATAGGTTTCAAATTTCACTATTTAAAACTTTCAGGCAATAAATAACTGAGATTTAGAAATACTTCTAACTTTTTAATCTACATTTATTCTTTTCTCACCTCAAAAGCTGAAAATCTGTCATTTTAAATAACATTGCAAAAGTGAGGCCAAAAGTAAAAAATAAGAATGATATCATATGCAGAAAGACAAGCATTCAAGCCGAAATTATCGTTGATTTATCTGAGGGCTGGTCAACATTTTCCTTTTTATTTTCCATAATAATTTTCATAGTTATTTTTCAAAATTCCTGAAACAATATTGTGGTTACTTCTTGCCAAGTATTCATTATATATAACATGGTGATCACACACACACACACACACACACACACACACACACACACTCACCAATCTCTAGGATCTAAACATTCTAGGATAATTTCTTCAAATAAGAGACTGATATTTAAAGCTCTTTTTTTCATTTACGTAGTAAAATTACACTTGGAATGCACTCGTCCATCAAGAATGCACTCTGCTTTTCATCTTATTTGAAGCTATAGGTCTTCCTTTTGCTTCCTAACCAGGAAGCACTCAAGTGGCCTTATTATTTATGACAGTGGGAAAACATATTGCAGATTTTTAATCTGCTTCTGTATTCAATGTGCAAGAAGTTCTTTTATTGTTAAAAAGTACTTGAAAAAGTTTAAAACTCAATTAGTGTCCCTCTCCCACATCTCCCCACATCAAATAACTCTTGCCTCCTCTCTGCCAGTCTTATTTTAACGTGTTCAATTAGCAGTCTTTTTAAAGCAGGAATAATACGAACAACCTGGCAGACAGATCTCACCCACCACCTATTTGCCAAACTGACATTTAAGACTGTGCGTTGCACAACTCCAGAGGACAGCACTAGCTTTTAGTCCATTTTTCCCTAGATTACGCAACACGGTGGTCCTGGTGTGGCTGGTGATTTTGAAATGATTAAGAATATTCATTGTAATTACTAAGGCTGGCTTTGCACATTTACACACACACACACACACACACACACACAAACACACACATACACACACACACACACACACACACAGAATCTATTCAATTCATAGATCCTGTATCGGATTATCTGTATAGCTCATGGAGAGCTCCAATTCCCCACAACCAAGATCTCATGTTGGGTACATAGCTTGCAAAGCAAAATAATAGGAAATTCATACATTCTCAAGCAAATTTGTATTTGGAGACTTTTATTTCACTTTGCAAGGAAAGTATTTTTAATTTTAAGTTACAGAAAGTATATGAAACCTTTGACAGGAAAATACTACCACTAGGCTATGTGATGTTTTTAATGCTATAAATGAAATCATAGATGTCTTACCTTCTCTCTGATGTTCTGATAGAAATTTTCATACTATAGGTGTTTGTGGCCCCCTCAAGAATGTCTGGGCCTCCTAAAGACGAATGTGCTTTACAAATCCCTATCTGCCCCCACAGAACTGACTTGGGCCACGTAGAGCTAGGGAGAAAGATGGACCTTGGTTGTAAGCTTTCAATATGTGCAGTTGTCCATTATACATTGGGAGTGTGCCTGGCTGGCAGATGACCTGATATGGCTTCATTTTATTAAGGAAATTACTGTTTTCACACATGGAAATATTAGTCACTCTGCACTTATTCTTTGAAGGGAATAAGGATCTCTTACCGGATCCCCTTGGAAATTAAAGTCATCTAGAATAGTAAAAAAGGGGGTACCTAAAGTGTATTTCATTATAAGGACCTCTATAAATTCAGGAATTTAGCTTATCATATCAGCATCACCATGCCAACCTGGCCCCATCAGACATATCCTTATTAAGCACCAAGGCGAAATGTGGGGGTGCCAATCAAAGTGCATGCTAACGCATTTCATGACTATGTAATCTTTATTCCTAAACTCCTAAGTAGATAGCTAAAAATCCAGGTGTGTGCATAAAGACAAAGAAATTATCCTTATGTGGATAATAACTCACAGAGATAAAATTAGGTTGAGAAGCCAAAGCACTTTAAGGATAAATTTAGAGAAGATACATTTTTGCTGCTAGAAAAGGAAAAGCATGAAGCATCTCGGAAAAAATATTCCCAAGGCATCTCAGTTATCAGATGAATTTGATTGACATTTATAAGAAGGCTGGAGGTATAAGAGCTCCATTATAATGCAACTCTCTTTGAAGTTTCCACTTCCTATCTCCCTCTCCTAAAGGGCCTCATCAGTCATTCCTCTGCTCTCTAAGACTGATAGACACAATTATTGACTCAGGCAGCTTCTGCGGAGTGCCAAGAAATAAGTTAAATTGATGAAAATAATTTTTAAAATTTTTTTATTAAATTATTATCTTTGTACATATACCATTGCCCACCCCCTTTCATACATGCCCTCCCTCCCCAGAGTTTTGTGTCCATTGGTTGTACTTATATGCACGTATATAAGTCCTTCAGTTGATCTATTATCTCCCCCAGATCATAATTTTTTTTTTAAGTTATATGAGGGGGAGACAATATCATTATCTAAAATAGAGATCATGAACTGTACAGCCCAATTTCTCCTCCGGAAATAGAGCAAGAAAGGAGGCCTGCACTAAAAATACATTGCCTGGGAGTGAAAACGTTCCTTTGTTAGTCTTCCCACGGCTGCCACCCTTCACTACAGCTCTTCGCCCATCAGCCCCGGGCAGAGCTCAGCTCCATGGCAGGTGGTCTCTGCTATTTTGCTGTCATCCCCCCAGCATGTTTCATTCAGATGCTAGCCTGGAAATTCACTGTGACCGGTCCAATGGAACTTCGGCTACTGAGCACTGGCCCATATGCTCGTCTTATAGTTTCCTGATGAGGCCATGCCAATCGGTGGCTCTAAGAACAAGGATACTGAGGGCCACGCCTCCGATCCTCCTGTTCTTCTTAGAATGAACTGGAGATGAGGAGGCAAACTCAGAGCCCAGGGGAGGTTACTACCTACCTTTCCCTCACACCTGTCTCTTTCTTCTCTGAAACTCTTACTGTCTCAGAGAACTCCTTTGGAGGAGAAAAGGGGGTGGGGAAGCTGCTTTGCTAGGAGAAGGCTAATATGAAGGGGGTGGGGAGATGTGAGACTGAGAAGGATTCATTTCAAGTCTCCTTAAAAATGACTCCTCCGCGCATTGACAGCCAGGGAAAAGCATTCTGGTTAAAATCCAACTTAATTCCTTCATCGCTTAAGTGTCCATTTAAATCGAAGAGTAAGAATCAGAGGGGCCTAGGAAACATTTGAGTCTGGCCCAAACTCCTCTTTCAGAGCTGAGGAAGCTAAACCCCAAGAGGTGGCACTGACTAGCCGGGAATTTAGGGTCCTGAGCCTCTCAGGGAGCCTGGCAAGAACTTACACTCTGGCACAAACCTGTTTGGCTCAGTGGACTGAACATCCGCCTGTGAACTGAAAGGTCCAGGGTTCGATTCCAGTCAAGAGCATGTACCTTGTTTTCTTTTTTTCTTTTTTTTTTTAAATATATTTTATTGATTTTTTACAGAGAGAGATAGAGAGCTAGAAACGTCGATGAGAGAGAAACATCGACCAGCTGCCTCCTGCACACCCCCTACCGGGGATGTGCCCGCAACCAAGGTACATGCCCTTGACCGGAATCGAACCCGAGACCTTTCAGTCCGCAGGCCGACGCTCTACCACTGAGCCAAACCGGTTTCGGCGTGGAGCATGTACCTTGTTGCTGGCACATCCCCAGTAGGGGGTGCACAGGAGGCAGCTGATCCATCTCAATGATGTTTCTAACTCTCTATTCCTTCCTCTATGTAAAAAGATCAATAAAATATATTTTTTTAAACTTATTCTCTGGAGGAACATATCTGTGTGTTTTGTGGTAGAAGTAGCACTACTCGATGATGTCCTTTCTAACAGAATGTGGAGCTTGTTCCTCCCACCTTCTTGGATTGTGTCAACCACTCAAGAGGAACGTGCCACCACACGAGATGTTCAGCTTTAGTGGAAGCGACATGGTTTTCAACCTAGCAAACACGTTCTTTCACACAGCTCAGTTCTGAAATAAACTCCCGCAAAAGTCAGGGGCAAACTCTACTATCTCTTGAACCAGGGGCCACCAGAGAGGACATCCAAGCAGCGCCACCAGCGCTTCAGTCCCACCAGCGAGGAGAAAAGAAAGCGCTGCCTCCTTTTATGACTTGCTTCGGTTCGGTTGCCTTTTTTCCTCTCCTCTCTCCTCTCTCTCTCTGTATTTTATTATTTAAGAAAAAGAAAAAAAACACACAACACAGCAGCAAGTTCTGTGTTGACTTCAATACGACCAAACAGCGGATCCTTTTTACTGGCTGTTTTCTGAGAGCTGGAGGAACGGTGGAGGGAAGCAGGCTGCCTCTGTTGTGGGCAGGTCCCACCCCCGCCCCCGTAAGAAAGAAGTTCGCATCTGGCCTCCGGGGCAGCGCCTAGGGTTCAACCGCGGCCGCCTCCCTCCCGGCGGCGCCAAAAACGGGGCTCAGCGGAGAAGACAGTGGGGATAACCAATGGAAACCTGGCACCCCAAATCCACGCTTTCAGGGGAATCGCCCCCTCTCTGGATTTGTTGGGCGCTATGGAAAGCCAAGCGTACAGGAGCCGCAGCTGGTGGGGAGGGTGAGAGGGGGTCCCTGCGCCCTGGGGAGAGCAGGATGCGGCGCCCCCAGTCCCCCGCGCCCCGCATCTCCGGACCCCCACGCCCGCCTCTGCGCAGAGGGAGAGCGCCCGGTGCTTCTAGGATGCAGAGAGCCATCCCCCTCTCTCCTCCCCTCCAAAGCGGCCAGTCTGCCCGCGCTCCCCCCGGAGCTGAGGCCACGCCGGGGTCACCTTGGCCCGCGCGCCTGCCATTCCAGGGCCCACGCCTCCCGAGCGGGGATGGGACGGCCGCTGCCATCCAAGCTCTTCCTCCCGCCCCCCTCGTCCCGCCTCTCACCCTCCCCGGTCCTTTCCGGCGGCGCCGGGCGCCCGGGAGCCGGCCCGGCGGTAGCGCAGGCGAGCGCGGGAACCGGGAGGGCGGGGGCTGTGAGCGCCCCGGCGGGACCGGGGGGAGAGCTCACTCCCTTCCAGCCGCTCCCGGATCCGCCCCGACGACTTCTCTGGGAGTCCTCGGTGCGCATCCGCATCCCCCTCCGCCCTCCTCCTTCCCACCCTCCCGAGAGGCGCCGGGGGCCGGGTCTGCAGGCGGAGAGGGGTCTGCAGGCGGAGGGGGGTCTGCAGGCGGAGGGGGGTCTGCAGGCGGAGGGGGGTCTGCAGGCGGAGGGGGGTCTGCAGGCGGAGGGGGTCCGCGCACAAAACTTACTGTCGGCTGCCACCCCGCCGCGGGAGGCGCTCAGACTCTGGAGCCAGATGCCCAGAACCACCAGAAGCAGCGCTTTGCTCTCCATCGGAGTTTGCTCCTCCGTAAGCACTGCCGGGCACGCTGGGAGAGGACAGACGGATGGACCCGGAGCCCGAGGCGGGAGTAGGATGGAGCTGCGGTTCGGAGCGGGTCAAGTCGCCTGGTAAAGGGGAGATCCGGGCAGCTAGACGCGGCAGGTTTCCTCGGAGGAAGAGGAATCGAGTCTGACACCGCTTCCACTCCACGGCTGCTTAAGTGACTGGAAATATGCAAATAAACCTCATCACCTATTGGCTATAAAATCATAAGTTGGGGGGAGGGCCCTGCATTCACTTCCAAATGTTTGAGCAAACTGTGATGATGAAGAGCAAGCCTGCCAGCGAGAAGAGGGTGAAAGAGCAGGAGGGATTTGTGAATTCCCTGTTCGCTTTTCCCAGGGGATCTCTCTGGCTGCACAGGCACCAAGCTTGGTTTATGTGGATATATGTTAAATATTCCACCGTCACCAGTTTTCCAAGCAGAAGTTAAGTTGTCAAACTACATTCGGTCCAAACGTAATCCCACTCCTCTGTTGAGGGATCCTGTTTGTAACTCGCAGGGTTTATCCCCCCCAACATGCTCCTGGACCATGTCCGTTTAGGGAACCATAAACTCACGCTGTTCTGTAGCTTGTGCTTGAACAATCTGGCTTTTTAATATTGGCAATACGTATTAACTGATGTGGTGAAGGAAAGCCCTCTTACGGTAACTAGTTTCTCATTTCTCCCTCCTGCAGATTATATATCCAAACTCACCAAAGAATGCAAGTATACCATTTTATCCACAGAGGCAGAATATCAAAGTCAAAAAAATCTAAAGCTATATATATTGTTATGCAAAGTGAAGAAGCCAGTCACAAAAGACAGATGTTGTAAAATTAATCCGCAAATAGGCCGCTCTTCTAGACAGAAAGTAGATTAGTGGTTGCTTGGAGCTGGGGAATAAGAAAGGGGAGTATGGAGAAGTTTGGGGGGGGGGGGGTGGTGATGAAAATGTTTTCAGTTACATTATGGTCGTGGTTGTACAACTTGATAAATACGCTAAAAAAAAAATTGACTTGGCCCTGACCGGTTTAGCTCAGTGGATAGAGCGTCGGCCTGTGGACTAAAGGGTCCCAGGTTCGATTCCAGTCAATGGCATATACATTGGTTGTGGGCACATCCCCAGTAGGAGGTGTGTAGGAGGTAGCTGATCAATCTTTCTCTCTCTTCGATGTTTCTAACTCTCTATTCCTATCCCTTCCTCTCTCTAAAAAATCAATAAAATATATATATTTTTAAAAATTGACTTGCACACTTTAAATCATTGAACTTTATGATATGTAAATTATATTCAAATAAGGCTATTAGCAAAAATATATTGAGATATGCAGTTAAAATTATAAGAATAATGAAAAAATTATAAGAATAATGAAATCACATTGGAAATTATATTTTTTGTTAAAATGCCCAGAATTCTATCAAATACCTTTTTTCTTTTCTTTTTTTTCCTATTAATATTTTTTATTGAGTTTTTACAGAGAGGAAGAGAGAGGGATAGAGAGTTAGAAACATCGATGAGAGAAAATCATCGATCAGCTGCCTCTTGCACACCCCCTACTGGGGATATGCTCGCAACCAAGGTACATGCCCTTGACCGGAATCAAACCTGGGACCTTTCAGTCCACAGACTGACGCTCTATCCACTGAGCCAAACCAGTTTCAGCTCAAATACCTTTTTAAGTGTAAAGGATTTGCATTAGCCAGAAAGGACAATTACCCCTATACTATCCACTTTATATCCAAGAAACAGTCTCAAAAATCAAAACCTCTAATTCACCATCTTATATTAGATTCTCTCTCTCTGTTTCTCTCTCTTTCTCTCTCTCTCTCTCTCTCTCTCTCTCTCTACACACACACACACACACTCTCTCTCTCTACATTTGTATGTTAAGAGGATAAAATGCCATATTATTTAAACTAGACTCAGATTTAAAGTTTATCTCAAAAATGAAATACACCCAAATCATTCAAAGTGTGCTATCAAGAAGACTAGGTTTCTATTTTTAAGTTGATACATTAAAGGGCACAACACAATATATTGTCTTGTATTGAGATTATTAACCAATATGTTGTACAATATAATTATATTGTATACATTCATTCTATCCTGCAAAGTATGTGGAGGAGTTTTGAAACCTGCCAAAAATTAAATCCTTTAGAAGAATTTTAGAAGGGAAGAATAACCATGTAAGGGATGAATACCTGTGATGTGGCAGTCCTCCAAAAGTTACATAGTAAATTTGAATTTTTAAAAAATGACACGAGATTAGTACAACTGTATGGCATGTACTGAGGCATAAATGACATATGAACGCAAGTGCAAACGCCTGGTATCTTGTATAGAATATTCATGCAGCCTATTTTCACACCTAATTTTTTTAACCATTTGCTAATACAACCAAACCAATCTGTTCTTCTGTGCTTTTCAGAGAACGACAAGAAGATTGCTAAAGGGAAGTCTGATGCTTATATTAATAATATGTGTTTTAAATGATTTTCCAGGTTAACAGGTAACAAAATTAAAGATTTTGAGTAATTCTTTTCTTAAATATGAAACTGGTTTTGGAGTGGCCTGTAGTGTTACATTCTATGTCCATTAAGGTTGCAGAGATTTCCAAGAAAAATTAACTCAGTAGCTCGGCTTGCTAGAAAAGCGACAGGTTGGCTCTAATCCCAGCCGGCGGTGGGCAGGTGGGTGTGGCGGCCACGCGCTCTCCTGATTGGCTGCTCTCTGGGGGACCAGGTGCCAGAGTTCCAGGACTGAGGCTCATATGACCTCCAGGCTCCTGCTGCCAGGGCGGTAGCCAGGCGCCTCCACCAAACCCCAGCCAGGTTATTTGATCCCCTGTGGCGCGAGGCTCCCCGTTTTCCGTAATTGACTTTTCCCCTGTAACAGACTTAAAAAGCTTCGGATTAAAAGCTTTTCATAAACGTTTAACAAACCACTGCACATGGCAGGACACTTGTTCCTGGAATAAGTTTAAAATGATGTAAGTAACAAGTTAAGTGGGCATACCTAAAGAAATGACCAAAAAAAAATCCAGAACTCCACATGTAGGGAAAGTGTATCAATCAATCAATCAATCTATCTATCTATCTATCTATTATGTAGTTAGCGGGCCTACTATTTGCACACACTGGGCACTTATCCGACCTTTCTGCATTTAGTCTTTACCAATACATCCCAAACTTAGTAATATTACCGTTGCACAGATGAAGGAAGATAAAGTGCAAGGAATATTAAATACCAGTAACCACAAATCATGAAGTGTCTTCTTGTATGGTGATCCCAAGAAAGAAGGAAAGTGCATTTGATGTGCTCTATTTTGATGTTGCTATAATTCAAAGCAGAAAAGTCTGGAAAGATGGTTTTTGTATAAGCATGGTTCGGTACAAATTCTATTTTGTGGCTTTTTTGCTAATTATGATGAAATGTTTGGGCTCTAGAAGAGCATCAGGCCCTAGCTGGTTTGGCTCAGTGGATAGAGCATTGGCCTGCAGGCTTAAGGGTCCCGGGTCAATTCCAGTCAAGGGCACATGCCTGGGGGCATGCAGGAGGCAGCCAATCAATGATTCTCTCTCATCATTGATGTTTCTATCTCTCTCTTCTTCTCCCTTCCTTCCTGGAATTAATAAAAATGTATTTTTAGCCGAAACCGGTTTGCCTCAGTGGATAGAGTATCAGCCTGCAGACTGAAAGGTCCCAGGTTCCATTCCTGTCAAGGGCATGTACCTTGGTTGCGGGCACATCCCCAGTAGGGAGTGTGCAGGAGGCAGCTGATCGATGTTTCTCTCTCATTGATATTTGTGAGTTTCTATCTCTCTCCCTTCCTCTTTGTAAAAAAATGAATAAAAATATTTTTTAAATGTATTTTTAAAACATAAAAGAGCATCAATGCTTCTGAAGTCTGGTGTCTATCACAAAAATTATAAGGAATGTAGAAAAAAGGTATGCTACTGCAAATAACATTTGCCAATACAAAATCATAAATATAAAAAATATGTTCAGATCTACTGACTTTTAATTTTAAAAAACCAAGATGTTCACTACATTTTGTCATAAAAGACTTTTCCACTGCTACCCACCCACATCCCAGCCGGAACTGTAGACAGGGAGGAGCGACAGCTGCCTCTGGACAGGGATGGGGATGCGACAGTGAGGGGAGGATGAGGGTGAGGTCATAGCCCTGGGACCTGGTGCCTGAGGCTGCAGCTGTCCCTGCAGGCAGTTCAGCGGAGATGCTGGTGTGCAGACCTCTTGTTTGATTCCTTACCAACAAAGCTACTTTGAAGAAACACCAAGTAGCAGTTGAAGAAAAAATTGACCCAGACAGAATATAGTTCTCCATTAGTAAAGATGGGTGTCATAGTCTGGAAAAGTTAAAAACACAAATAAATGTTATATTTAGCTATTTTGTTCCTGTCTCCTTCCTTCACCAACTCTGAGTGAAGGAATCAGGGTTACGGTCTTTGATTTGGATGTGAAGGAATTGTGCAGTGGGAAGAGAACTGTTTCAAATGATAAAAATATGGTGTTAAATAATCCAGACATATTTTAAGGGTTTTAGTTTTCTTGGTTTGGAAATATTCACCCCCTTCTTTCTTCTAAAAACAAAAAATAAAAATAAAAAAGAGAGAGAAAAAAAGAAAAGAAATACTTTAATGTCAGCATTTTAAAAAATTGACTAAGTGCCCTGGCCGGTTTGGCTCAGTGGATGGAGCATCAGCTTGCAGACTGAAGAGTCACAGGTTCGATTCCAGCCAAGGGTACATGCTGGGGTTGTGGGCTTGATCTCTAGTGGGGGGGGGGGGGTGTGCAGAAGGCAGCTGATGGATGGTTCTCTCCCATCATTGATATTTCTATCTCTCTATTCCTCTTCCTTCCTCTCTGAAATCAATAAATATATTTTTTAAAAATTGACTAAGAGGAATAAAAGATTTTTTTAAAAGAGTGAATTTTTTAAAAAATATCAATGTGCTAGGCTGAAACCAGTTTGGCTCAATGGATAGAGTGTCGGCTTGGGGACTGAAAGGTCCCGGGTTCGATTCCGGTCAAGGGCATGTACCTTGGTTGCGGGCATATCCCCAGTAGGGGGTGTGCAAGAGACAACTGATTGATGACTCTCTCTCATCGATGTTTCTAACTCTCTCTCTCCCTTCCTCTCTGTAAAAAATCAATAAAAAATATATTTAAAAAATTATATATATATATATAGATAGATAGATAGATAGATAGATATAGATATA